AATTCCCCCCAGTCTGCGTCTTACATGGATAGCTATGATCTGATTTAGGATTAGTGGATTGCAGTGTGTTTGCTGACCCTCTCCTTTCTTGCACTGGTAGGAGTCATCCAGAAAAACAGACCTTAATTTTTACCAGTTTAGCAACCTAAGTGTGTGCATCTCCCCATTTTCTACTCCCAAATTTGTCCTTTCAGGAGTGTATTTCTGGAAGTCGATCCCAGACACCCAAATATGGTGAAGGACTGGCTACAGGCACACCCCGATTTACTACTTGTCCTCTGTGCCATTCACAAGGACTTCTGTGGCAAGTAAGTCTGTTTTACCTTCAGATTTTTGCTTCGGGTATAGGACTGTCCCCTTTGTACATTATGTCCCCATACCCTGATGTATTGAATGAACTCAGCCAGAGAAAGTCCACAGTTAAAGCCAATCTTGAACAAAACAGGGGTCCCTTCAAGTATCTCAACTTTCTCATATCCTGAGGTAACCTGGCAGGTGTTTCTGAGTCAGAAATTCTGATGCAGGTAAGCATTTCTGACGGGGTGACTAGCTCTGGTGCTGTTATCACTGCTGCTTTTACAGGATGGAGGTAGGGTCATGTTCTCCCTACTAAGACAGCTCTGGTATTCTTTTTTCCACAGGCCTAGGTTTCTGCACATCCAAAAACAAAGCAGTTGACAACTGTACCAGAAATAACTTCCTGCAGCGTGCTTTTTGCTGAAGAGATTGGTGGAAACTCTGCATGGCAAAACAAAACTCCACTTCATGCAACACTGGACAGTTTCAAGATTCAGCTGGAGAGGGGGCTGGGACATCTAGTCTAGGCTATGCTTTACCAAGAAAGGTTGAAGCAAATGACCCTTGAGGTCCCTTTCAACTTGGTACTCTCTGATAATGCATTGACTTCTCCATGCAGCGTCAGACGTGATACAGAATTCATCCAGAGATGCCAGAAGTTCAACAGAGCATGTAGAAGTGTTTCACCTTCCTCGGGGAACTACGTGAAACTTTTTAGTTTGCTCTCTAAGGTGACTCATTAATCTCACTATCCAGTGGAAGAGTTCAGAGCTCCAGATAAGAACACAACTTCTCAACATGTCAGATCACCCATTTCACTTGAAAAGAACTTCACTTTTTTATCGTGGTTTCTTTTTTGCCTGGAAATAAGTTTATGTAGCAGGTGACCAGAATTGGATGATAGGTCCAAACTGCCTTGTATTGGTACATGGATTTGCAGTTGTAACAGGACCTGAGTAACCTGTACATTTCAAACTCAGTTCTATTCCAGGATCCTTATGCTCCAGAGCAGATCTGCAACAGCAAAGCAGCTTTTGTTTGCAGTCCTGCTGAGTGACATGCCATTGAAGGATCAGTGCACATGTTACACCACGTGAAGCTACAGCACCTGACACTTGATGGATGCTGCCAGAAACCATCTAAACACTGTAATAAAGATAGTGCTTCAGATCAGTGTCCTTACAAGAATTGCATTGCAGTTACATTTTCAAACGTGCTGGCAGACCTCAATAAACATCTGGCACCTGCACATTGCTTCTGATAGTAATAGAGATGCCTAATGTCCGTGTAAGGCCTTTAAGTGCCAGACTTTACAAGGAAGTCCAGAATCACTACTCCAGTTTTGCAGATGGAGAAGTTGAAAAACAGGAGGCGAAATGGCTTGGACAGAATTTGACAAGCCAAGTTTGGAGTAGGACCCAGTCTCTTGACACCAGTGGTAATAGCTGAGATCTGTTTCTTTGGGAAGGATGACTCAAGAGTAGGGCTGCCTGAAACAACAGTAAGAGAAGTCCCTGAAATGGACAGTCCACATTATAAATGATGGCAGCATTAAATTCCAGCTGCTGCTTGTTGCTGCTGTTGCCAGTGTTACAAGTTCCCTTACTGACCACAGCTAGCCAGGGAAGGAAGGAAAGTAAATGGAATGATCTGGTTCACCACTCTGGATGGAAGCAGTTGCTGGGCCAGTGGAGGTGAGCACTGGGTAGGGGTGGAGGTGTCCAGACAGTGCCCTCTGCTGTCTGTGTGCACCAGGGAGGTGCTATCAGGTGCTCTGTCCAGGCTGAACTGCAGTACATAGCCAAAATAGTGGGTAGGAGACGTACCAGCAAGCTGCATCTGTTTAGGAGGCTGCAGCAGATTCAAAGGACTTTACATGAGCACTGACAGATCTGGTCCCTTCCCTGCACTCCGCACTCCTTCATTTGCTCTTTAACTCTTGAACATTGGCCCTGCTTTTCCAGAGACCCAAGCTCTGTCTGATATACTAGTGCTCAGGGCTCTTGACTGCATTCTTTGCCCACCCTGTTCACGGAGTGGCCTTTCACCCATCCTACCACTCACACTGTGTTTATTGTCCCCACCACTCTGTGCACCCCAGTCCCAGTAGTTCCCCACATCCCACACACTCTTTACTCAAAGTTACGAGCCTCTCTGAACTGCAGTACCTGCCCTGGTTAAAGACAGTGGGGGAAATGTAGGGGAGGAGAGAACTAAAACAAGTTCAGTTAAAATGCATGTGGTTCTAGGGTTAGAACTAAAGTTCCAGCGCAGCTGATTTCTGGCAGGTTTTCCTGTCAGAGCAGACAGTACAAACTGTAGTCAGAAAGGTGGTTTTGTTTGGGGATTTTTAGGGGTTTATTTTTTAAATAGTAGCTTAGGGACTTTTTTTAAGACCAGTTTGTCAGACTTGGTTTAAAAATTGAAAGAACTGAGTTCACAGATTTCCTGTGGGTGTTAGCAATGTTTATGTATGGAACAGCAACATGCACAGCTTCTGCTGGGTGGTTTGCTGGCTTGTGGGAGTGTGAAACAGCATCATGTTGCATTCTTCAAGGGGGAGGCTGATTCCCTACAGCAGGCTGGGGTTAGATGTCCCTCTTGGTGGCTGGGCTGCAGAAAGCTGTGTGCCTTTTCTGGGAAGCATCAGTCACTTGTCCAAGCTCTGAGCAGCCCACTTTCCCTGTGAGACGGACTGCTGGTCTAATCCAGTAGGACAAGTGTTAAATTCCTATATTTATAGCTGAAGCAGTAATAAAGATGCTTGCATTTCTGGGGGTTTGCGTTATGCAGTGGTTATATGTCTCGGAAAATCACATGGTGCTGCTGACCTTCTCATAAAGACAAGACAGGAGAAAAATTACCCTTCCTCCCCAGAGGCTGGATTTGTCATCCTCGCATCCGAGGGAATGCGCTGGTGCGGTACAATGTGTTCTGCAGTGCTTTACGCAGATTGGCCCCGGCTAATTTTGGTACAGAAGCACTGCAGAGCTTTGTGGGGCTGGTTTTAAGGAACCACAGGCACTGCCAGACCCTGGCTGAAGCACTGGGCCGTGCCTGTGCTGTCCTTGTGCCTGTGAGCGGGAGGCTCGGCTGACGCCAGCGCTGTGCTGTGCACGTGAGCTCTCTGCAGAGGCATCGCCTGTAGCTGCTCCCTGGAGCCACACAAGGCTGGTGCTTCAGTCATCACTTTACGTAATCTAGGATCTGACATGCATTTAATTTTCTGGGAATTTACTGGGTCTTTGGAGCTGTATCAAAACCCTGATTTGTTTCCTGAAGTGATGCCTTCAGAGGAGGGCTTTGTTTTGCTCTAGGACCCTGAAGAGGGTGGTTGTGTGTGTGCTCAGGTCTCTGTTTTGCGAGTTCCTAGGTGTGAAGTATCTCCTAGGATAACGCTGGCCTTCCCTGGGGAGCTGGTGGGAGCTTGGTCCTTGGTAGAGCCCTGCAGATGGTGCTGTGTCCCAGCCTAGCTGTATCTGCGCTGGAGAACAGTCCTGCCACCACTTCCCACTGTGTGGGGAGCACGGCAGCCCCCAGTGAAAGAGCTCGGGCCAACAGAGGGCTTCAGTGTTGACACAGCTGCAAAGGGGGGCTTTAACCTCTAGCCCTGTGCCAGTTAAACAGCTTCAGTGCAGGGACCTCACAGCTTGTGACACAGGACTGTGGTTGTTAATGGGATGCCTGAAGTCCAGCTGCATTAATCCATGTGTTTGGACAATCCCTGGTATGCTGGAGGACAGAGATGGTTACCACTGTTGCCTCTCTGAAATGATAAGTGGAAGTGTGGAGCTGAGGACTTTCATATAGGAGGCAGACTGAGCATCTCTGCTTAGTGTCTGTACTTTAAAGAGCTAGTGGAGGCCCTTCTCCAGTGTGGATGGCTTTCTCCTGGACCATGGGCAATGGGCAAGCAACAGCAGACAGGGTCCCAGGACCCTGAGGAGCCTTGTTGATCAGGACCAGAGCACTGCTCAGTGTGTCACAAAGGTGCCACTGCCTGAGTTTCTATTAACACTAACTGCACAGTTAGGTAGGAATATATGGGAGGCAGAACGCTGCTTCTAGTGGTATGTCTTCAGCAGTTCTTACATGGAAGATTTTGATTTCCATTTTATGCTAGCTGCTGCCTTTAATTTCAGTTCCCTGCCTGCTGCTGCTTCCTTTCTTGATGGTTAGCTCATCTCCTGTATTTTGTATATACTCTATAGCATGTGCACAGTGGGGCATGCCCATCAGTGTGAGCACAATGCCTGTGCAGTGGAGTCTTTACCTGGCAGCCTGAGCTGCTGCAAGAGCTGCAGTACCCAGCAATGCTGGTGGAAGAGTGGCTTCTGCCATCGAAATCCTCACTGTTTATTTGAAACACTTATCCAAGACTGTCAAGAATGTGAACACAATTCTTGGGTTGTTGAAAAAGGCTTGAATTATAAAATTCCTGGCCTGTCGTTTGGGTTATGATTGACTACTTTGGTTTGTGTGGTGGTTTGATGTCCCAGCTGTAAATCCAGAGTAAGCTGCTACAGCCCTGTTGTCCTCACTGGCGTCAGCCCACTCACGCCAGTTGGGTTGATGTTAGCTCACCTGGTGAGGGGTGGTATTTGGGTTCTGTGAAACAAGCATCCAGTCATTAATTTAAGCCTTTCCAGGGACTGGAGGCTGTTAAGCTGATAATCTTTTATCCTTTTCTATATTGCTCTGCCACTTACCTGGGAGTTATCTTCTTGCTATAGCTTTTGACTTTGAGCTTGCAGCCTCTCTGGAGCCGTCTGCTGAGCCTTTGGAGCTCATGGTGTGTTTGTATTGCTGTAGTGCTTAGAAGCTTTTCTTGCAGGTTGCCCCATCTCTAAGCTTTCAGTATTCTATTCCCCTGCCAGTATCTTGTTGTGTAACTGTCCCCCTGCCAACGTTGTTGGCTTGCATTGATAAATTTCTCCATGCTGGATAACTGAGAGTAACCTTGTGACTGAAACATCCTGATGTAAAAGGCAGCTCAGCCTTGCATTCTCCTTCACATGATTTTGCTGCTGCTGGGGTTTGTTGGCATGGGAGTCATGGCACTGGCATGTGCTCTCTTTGCTTGAGAAGAGCAGAATAAGCTCATGCTTCACTCAAACAAGGCTTCTTCATTTAATGTGTATGGGCAACGGGCACTCAGGCTGAAAGTAGATTTTGTACTTCAACTTCCAGGTCAGTGGGCTTTTTGTCTTGTTCATGTCAGCAGACAGTAGGCCTTTGTTCAGCATCACAACACACACGGGATGCAGATCCTGAATTGTGCAAGAAACTCCATGGTAAGGTCCATAAGCCCAGCAAATACATCATCTGTTCAGCTTCATGGCTTCACTGTGTGCCCTATTGACTGGCAATAAAGCCAAGAATATAACAGAGTTAGTTAGTTACTCATTTAGTTTGGCTCTTCCGTCCATCATTGCTTGTGTGGGAAATAAAAGGGGCATAAAGGCTTTGAGAGTGAAATTTTTGTCTGTGGAGAGGTGGCCTTTGCAGCTTGTGGGAGCTGAATAATTCAGTGAAATTAGTCAAGTATTAGATTAAGTCTTTGATGTAGTAATCAAGTCATTTTGTTAGTAAGTAGGGCCAGGATTGAGGCCAGGGCAGTCATGAGCAGGAATGGTCATGAGTCATGCACACAGAAGTTAAAGGTGAGTGCACCCGGATGAATGCCCTGCAGCCCGTTGTCGGTGTCCTGATCACAGAACTGCTGGAAACCCCATCTCTGTGGTGGGTGGTGCTTGCTGGCACCCTCCTCTGCTAATTCAGCTCTGGAAAAGCAGGAAGGGAGGCACCATCTGTGGTGGATGGCATGCCTTTTCCTGAGCACCCCTTGAGAAGGTGCAGGCACTTGCCCTTAGAGCCTCGATCATCCATGTATGATGGGTAGTGGTGTATGTTCCACACAGGAGCATTATGCTTCTCCCTCTCGAGGTCTCACCTGCTGCACTGCTCCAGGCAGTTGGCAGAAGAGTGAGGGCAACCCCTTTTTCCCTTGCTCTTCTATTCTGGCAGTGCCTTAGTCCTCCACTGAATCTTTGCTCAGCCCTGGCTCATTCTCACACCCAGCTGTGCTTGACCTCCCATAACCTCTGTTTGTGCTGTGGATCCCTGCAGAATTCCCTCCATCCTGAGCCTCTTGGACTTCGTCCTGGCAAAAAATCCTGCTCAGGCTTCTCAGAATTAATGCACATCAGCCTAACTCAGAATTGCCCTTTCCTGGGAAGCTCTGACACCATAAAGCCTGTTTGGTGTCCTGCATCTACCCCTTCTTTCCACCCCCCCTCCCCCCATTGAATCAGAATTAACTACTTTATCTTTCACATTTCTTATGGGCACTTTGTGTCCCAGGCTGGGGCTCTCAGAAATGCTTTGCTCTGGGATTTCTGTTTCGGTTGTATCCACTGTAAGCTGTTGCGCTGCTTACTGCTCCTTTGCTAAGGACAGACTGGTAGTAGGTCACAGTATGTGACCTGTAGTATATACAGGTATAAGAAAACCCAAGAGTTAGTCACCTCCCTTTTTTTAATCAATTAGAACAGCTGCTGCTTAATATGACTGAAACATCCTCCTACTCTCTAGATCAAGAAGTCCCTTGTTTACAATGTAATGAAAGTCTGACGCTGCCATTACAACACCCAGGAATGCCTTCATCTAGACAAGCAGGTAACATTTCATTCTGTAGTAAGCAGTGATTCATCTTAATGATCTAAAAAGTAATAAAATATTTCACTGCTTCTGTCATGTTTGAGCAAGGTAATAACCCTGCTTGTGGGGTAACAACCTCTAAGGTAAAATACATACAGTTTGGAAGTTTCGAAGCAGAGCTTCTGAACTGACAGAAACAGAGCTGCTCCAAGGAGCTTTGACAGGAACTGTCATCAAAATCAATAGGTTTTCAAAACTAATTTAAAACCCACCCAAACTGTTCTTAAAGGAAGGTGTTTTTTTCCCAAGAGAATGTTTTGGTGCTGCTTTTCTACCAGCTCTCTTTCTGTCCTAGCAAAGGCACTCTTTGTTATGATCCATTGTGAATAGAGAAGACAAAGACAATTCTCACTGTGAGTTAAACCCAAGTCTCCACAGTGAAAGACCTAAAAATTCCTTCCTTCCACAAGCTGCCCATCTCTGGCTCCCATGCTGCTTTTGTGCTGCTTTAACACATCACATCAGGTATGAAATAGTTCTCCTTATCCTGAGGCAGGAGCATGCTAGTCAAACAGCTGCTGTCTTTCCTGCCCCTCACACGGGGAAAGGGCAGTGTGCTCTCAGTGTTGGACCCCTTCCATGGAGGCTTCCCTCCATGCAGAGGAAATGACAGATGTCATGCCTGTTTCTCCTTTCCAAGGTGCTGCCCAAACAAACAACACAAATAAGTTCCAGAGAAACTCCAGGATGGGCTGAGCAGGGAAGATAGCTTGCATGGCTGGGAGGCCACAGAATTAACAGAGCCAAAGTTTCCTTTCCTGTCATGCTGTGTGTGTGTGACATGATTTGATCAAATCATGAGATTTGATGACTGGTGGGTGGTTTGTGAAGGAAAGTGTTCCTGCAGTTGGCTTTCAGCATTTATCACTGCAGACACTGGTGGGAAGCCATGGATTGGGGAAACAAATTCCAGTGTGGCTCACAGCACAGGTGAAGAGTTTGTCAGTCTTACAGTAAATCCATGCAACTATTATATCCTATAGTTAAAGAAAACAAACTGATACCATAGGAGCAGCTTGCTTGTTTGTTTTGGGCAAACATGTTTAATTTGGGAATAGTATTCACAGTGGAGGAGCAGACCAGGGCTGTGGCATGGCAAAGGGCTGTAGTGGCAATGGGATTTGTAAGTAGGGTATTTTCATGGGGGTTGGAGATAACCCAGGCATCAGTAGTTGTAAGATGTGATGTATCCCAGCAGAGAAGCATAAGGCAGCAGTGTGCTGCCAAATCTGGCTCTGCCCTTAGAAGACATAGCTGCCATGTTCATCCCACCGCACTGATTTAGAGACTTTCTTCTTTTTAACAGCATCAGTGAAAGAATCTTATTTAACAGGGAGGGCTAAGCTCTCCTGAAGTCAGAAATAGAGATGCTGACAGCTTTCCTGCAAATGCAAAGATAAAATGAGTGACAGTTTCTGAGTTCCTGTAGAACAGGCAGATTTCATGAACTGGTTTATGCTGTGTGACCTTAATGCCACTATTACTGCAAGGTCCTGGGAGCAGGGCACGAGTGAGGGCAGGGTGCAAGGGCAGTTTGAGGAGCCATGCATTGAAACAGCCCTGGACAAGTTCCCATGGGTATGCCCCTCTGCATTTCATTTTCACAAGACAGCGGATGTCCCTGCTTGCCCCAGTTCACAGAATTAGACTGAGGGTTGGAAAATGGAAGACTTCTTTATTCCCTAGGGTAAGATCTGGGTTTAGCTATGTCCAAATTGATTCTTTATGCAAGTATGAAAATGCCTTTGCTTGTTCTTGCATGGTGTTTTGTATGCCCTTATTGCCCTGTCTGGGTTTATTCTGAAAGCAGATCTTTGAAAGGCTAAGCAGAAGACTGTCATCTGGGAGACATCACCATGTAGCTACCTCTACAATACTAGAAACTACAGGGAAGCCTCAGTGTACTGAGGACAGCAGGAATTCTGCCCATGGGCAGGGAACGAGGGTTTCATTAGCAGGGAAGCCTGAGAACTGGCCCATGTTAGAAAAAAGATGTTCCCATTGTTCATGGCAGCATGGAAGATCTGGTGGATGGAACTGGCCAGTCTGAGGGGGTGATTTTGCTGCATTTTAGAGCTTGCAGAATCTGGTTAAGGGCTGTGTACTTCTAAGTAGGACAGAGATTAGAGGGTCTAAGGGAGGCCCTGTCCATCTGTCAGCACTGTCTGAGCCATATAAATCCAGGGTTGAAAGCCAGAGAGTCAGTGGTGTTCAGAGCTGCCTAGAGCAAAGGAGGGGGCCCCAGGAGGCCCAGGATCAGGAGAGTCTTCAGTGGGAGTTGTGTTAAGTCGAGGAGCAGTACTTGCAGTGTGTGTGGGAAAGCCCTAGGGAAGCACAGAGAGCTGAGTGCTGGCGCTAGCTTCACACCATGTGCGTCCTCAGCTAGGGTGGGAATGATGTGCATGAGGTGCTGGCAGGCAGGAGCAGAGGAGGGAATGATCCAAGTCAGTGCTGAGGAGGCTGCTGGAGGCAGCAGAGGAGCTTTGATGTATGGTGGAGCAGTGTCAGGGCTCGGGCGGTTGCAGGGCAGCTTCAAGGGGACAGCCGCGCTACAAACAGGGAAGTTTAAAACCAAGATGCAAGAGTGTGCCAAGAACACTGTGTACAGCTCGTGCAGGAGCAGGTGCAGAGCAGGGCTCTGAGGATGAGAAAGGGACACAAAGCTTAGCAGAGGAGAGAAAACTCAAAGAGATGAGCTGCTTCTGCCTAGCAAAACAAAGACAGGGAGGAATGTGATGTTCCCTGTAAACACTTTGCTGCAAAATGAATACCAGAGGGGAAGAAAAAGTCTTTGTAATTAAGATCAATGATGGCACAAGGACAAATTGATACAAATTTGCTATTAATACACTTAGCCTGAAAATTAGATTTTCAAACACTTAGAGGAGTGAGATTCTGGAGCAGTCTGTCAAAGGGAGAAATGGAAACCAAAGGAGCTTTGTAAGGAAGCCTGAGGAGCCTGCAGTAGTGAAGGGAGAGTAAATTAAATGTCTGACACACTGTCATTTTATTTTATGCATGTTGGTGCTACAGACAGCCTGACCCGGAGTCTGGGCAGGAGGGCACGTTGAATCCCAGCAGAAGATGGGAGCAGTCAGCAGCTGTAATTAAGAATCAATAGCAAAGTTACAAGTCAGCTCCAAGAGATGGGGAGTTTCAGGATAGCTGAGCTATGCACATATCCAGCTTTGGCTGTACCTAGTGTTCGAGAGCAGGCTTCACCAAGCTGACTAAGTTTAGGGCCTTTTTGCAGCCTCTTTTAGAACCAAAACTTGCACAGTAGGGCTCTGCTAAATCTTCCCTCTCTACTTCCCAGTTGCTGCCTTTTTCTGCTCCATTTTGGCATGGGTCTCTCCATTGCAGCTGCAGTGGCTTTGTCTCTGTGCTCCTAATTCCTTGTTCATAAAATATTAGGGTATGTTTTAAGCCATATTTTAAGAATGCCTCCAGACTTCCCAAGAGAGCCTTTTGGCATTCAACTGTAAAAGGAAGGTTAGCAAAGTTTAGCCGAGCTGCCTTTGTCAGAGGAGGTGCTTGGGATCCTTTTGCAAACCAGCTTGTTGGCTGCAAGAAGCTTGGAATTGTGTTGGTAAGTTTTTGGATTAAGGGAAAATGAAGTCATTTCTTGAAATTGTTTTCAAAAGTTCAGTGTTACCCCAGGTCAGAACTGAGGAACACCCACCTATAGGACAAGCTGAACTTTTCAGGCTAGAAAATGAGGGGGGAATGCAAATAGATAAGCAAAAAGCCATCCAGCTGAAATAAGAACTTAATGGTGATACACAGAAGGGTATTCCCAGAAATGGCAGTTCTTTGGAACTGGGATGCAGAATGCAAGAAGCAAGCAATACTTAGAAGATGCACTTGGACAGAAACGTGAGGAATGCAAGAAGGTTTAGTAGGGCAGGCCGAGCACGTATCGGTTTTTCAGCTCCTAATCAGGTAGGAGCATTCAGGGCAAAGAGTTTACTTCTCACTCATGGGAACATGAGCATTATTGCCCATCTGAAGAAGAAAGTCTGCTGCTGCTTTGAATTTTGCCATAGTATCTATGGTGTAGCTTTGCTGAGTTTGGTTTTCTGTGCAGCATTTTTCTCTTACTAATAGCCTTTACTTATTTGTCCCCCAGCTCGATCCTGACTTGGCAGAAACCTAAGCAGAGCATTGGGAAGTTGCCATCGATCAATGGAGTCAATGCATTGAGGGATAAAGTTAATATAAAAATTGCATTTCCCAGAGGAGGCTCTTACTGGTGATGTGAGAAGTCATAGGTCTGTCAGAAGTTGCCAGCTTGTCTTGCTCCAGCTCATTAAAGCGTTCTGTCCTTGCGTTTTCAAGTGATCATAGGAACAGCAGCAACTTCTGGTAGGGAGAGAGGAAATCATGAGGAACTGACACCAGTGTGATCTAATAGCTGGTAGGGACAAGGCTAGTCCAGCTTGACACTTTCAGTCCTTATGCAGAGGTTTCAGCTCTTAGCATCCTCCTTTTCAGTGTCTTTGGACCATTCAGCCTGCTTGTGAAATTAACTGTGCTCATGCTCATTCGCTATCTTGGTTTTGTGTTCTTCTGGTACACAGAAATGGTGTGATTAAAGCCAGGCCTTAGGGATGCATGACCTGCAGCTGCTATTGAATTTGAGGGCTGTTTCTCCCCATTTGACCTAATAGGTCAAGAAAGATAGGGTTAAATCCTGGTCTTACCTACTATAAATGAAGAGAACAGGTTGCTCAAAACGGCATTCTAACATATCCTATCTGGAAATTAATGCAGTCTTACTCTATAACTCTTCCAGCATTAGAATAGTGAAGATTGATGGTCAGGACAAGTTCCCAAGTGACCGGCACAATGAGCTGTTCCATCAGCTGAAGGTTATCAAATTTAAATGATCTGAATTTACTAATGGAATAATTCCTACAGCATTACCTCACTCTTCTGAACATTCGGGGTGTTAAATG